CCAGATTGTCGAATCCAGTCGTTGTAGATGTCACAACCCCCGCTCTCCTCCTTTTTTTTTTTTTTTTTTCTTCGCCTTTACCGTCGCAATCAATCAATCAATCAATCCCGTCGAATCTATTGATTCGACAAGATCTTCACAGTTCAAGATCCAGTCGAATCGATAGATTCGACTGGATTGATTGATTGATTGTTTGATTGATCGATTGATTGATTGATTGAGCGGTCGGATTCGACGGGGTACCTCCTCCTCCTATCTATTGATTTGATAGGATCTTGATAGAACTGTCAAGATCCATTCGAATCAATATATTCGATGGGATTCGTTAATTGATTGATTGATTGATTGATTGATAGACTAGCGAGGAATGGCTCCTCGTCCTCCTCCTCCTCCTCCCCTCCTCCGTTTCCTTTTTTTTTTTTTGTTATTCTAATTCTGGCCAATCGATCAACCAATCAATCAATCCATGGAATCATTGATGGATCTCGATCAACCGATCGATTGATTGATTTCGATTGATCGATCGATTGATTGATTGATTGATTGATTGATTACTAAAAGAAAAGAAATGAGAGTCGGGGAGGGCTAGTGAAGGTGATAGCGTGGCCAACCACTTCGGCCCCTTCCCAGTCCTCCTCCTACTCCTCCTTATAATCTCTCCTCCTCCTCCTCCTCCTCCATTCGCTGCTGAACGATTGACCGCATGTCTAACACATTGCCTCTTTTCGTCCGTTAATGAAGCCCTCACATGTGCTGCATGCCTGAGCCGGTGAATGTTGCGCAACTGAGACATTGTGTTCCGGTCCTCGAGTGAGTCCGTCCTTTGGCACGTCACAGCCACATCTCTCATTATAGTTCGCGCGACATCAGTGTTTTCGTGCACGATGGCGGCGACGAGTAGACGTCGTTTAGGCAACACCTATCCGGCCTTCATGCCCCTACCCGATTGGAAACAAGCGGACTTGCAGCGTTCACATGTGGCGTGGGAGTGGATCGAGAGGGGTCAGGACCACTGTGTGGTTGATGGGGGCAATTTCTTGATGCGTTGTCGGCTGTGCAATGAGGTCTTTCCCGGTTCCAGATCCAGGGGAGTAGAGTACTTCACAAAACAAAATGCACACAGCCCGCGACAGAGCGGTGAGATCTTGTGGCGATTGCAGCGGGCAGGAGCAAAGCTCAAGGACCCGCTTTCACAGAGATTAGCCGGGGGGCATGCTGATGCCTTGGAGGGGGCGCTGGCTATGAATGACATGTACAAAGGTCAGGGTGGTGTTGAGCTGGACGAACCCGTGATAGAGACAGATGTCCCTGCCCCGGAGTAGGGCCGAGATGTGGACAGCGTGGGTCATGCGGAGGAGGTGCCTGAGCATGGACGAGATGCTGATGATGGATGTGACCACTTGCGCTCACTTGTCGGCATGCAGGCAGGCAGCGATGGGGGGGCAGCAAGAGCAGCTCTTGGCATGCAGGTTGCGTCCACACGTGTGCCGTTGAGAGGGAGACAGTCGACCTTGGATCCATTCGTGGGGAACAAGGTGCACAAAGATGTCGATCGTCTCTTGGCAATTGCCATCTATCGAGGCGGTGGATCCTTCAACTGCCTCCGGTTGCAGGAGACGCAAGATTATTGGAACTATATAGTCACTCTCCTGCGTTCCTCCATCGTGCCAGTGCCACGCCTACTGACGTACGAGAGAGTCAGGACAAGGATGTTGGACATTATCTACCACGAGGTTGCGACACTCATTGCCCCTAAGAAGGCAAAGTGGAAGGACAACGGATGCACATTGATGACGGACGGGGCGACGGACCAGAGGAACAAGCCCATCATGAACTTCATTGCAGCGGGGAAGTCTGGGCCGGTCCTCATCCGTACGTTCGACATGTCAGAGGGGGACAAGACAGTCATCAATTTGGCAGACATATGGGAAAGTGTCATACGAGATGACATTGGGGTCGATAATGTAAGTGGGATTTGCACTGACAATGTGGAGGTGATGAAGGCAGCGGCCAGTGTTCTGCAGTCCCACCCAGACCCGGTCATTGCACGCATACCTTGGATCCCGTGCGCAGCACATTGCCTGAGCTTGCTGTTGAGGGACATCGCTGCAAAGCCTTGGGCGAAAGCAATCATGCAGCGGGCGCACAAGATAGTGAAGTTCATGAGAAACAAACATAAGGCGGTCGCACTGCATCGAGGCACGACGCATGCGCTGGACATCAGGCGACCGGCCGATACTCGGTTCGGGACTGCTTTCATGATGCTAGAGAGGTTGTGGGCGCAGAGGTTCGTGCTTGATGAGGTGGTATCGTCAGATTAGTGGAGACGTGCAGGATGGACAGGCGACACACGCACTGAGGAGCCGGAGGTTCACAAACTATGCCGATCTGATGCATGGTGGCAGCAGGTGAAGAGAGTGATGGACGTCATGAAGCCGTGTTATGATTTCCTCAGGGATATGGACAGCGACGGGTCGTCACCGCCAGGTTTGTGGGATCTCCAGTTAATCCTCGGGAGGAAGATTGATGCTCTCCAGTTGGACGAGTGTCAGAGGGCGGTCCTCACGGACATTGTGGCAGACAGTTGCGCTATGATGCGTCAGCCTGCCCATGCCGCAACTTATTTGCTGGATCCTCATTGGCGCGATGTGTCGTTGTCGAGGGATCACTCGGCCCCCGTTGTCCAGAGCGCGCTCGACCACTTCACTCGCACTTTAGGGGGGAATTGGTGGGCGGAGGAGATGCACAAACTTTGTGAGGCATTATGGACTTTCCATTCCAGCGATCCGCAGTACTGGCCAGAGCGCTGACCTCAATGGTGGGACCCGTTCGCCACTTGGGATGCAGCATCGAAAACCATGCACCCGACGTTGTGGTGGGAGCTTCATGGCGCCCGTTTCCCAAAGTTGCAAGCCATCGCAAAGAAGGTGCTTGGTATGTGGACGGCTGCGACTCCTTGCGAGCGCAAGTGGGCCACTCACGACCTCGTACACACGAAGAGGCACAACCTCCTTTCCGCTCAAAGTGTTGAGAAACTTGTGTTCATTCACTGGAACATGCAACTTCTCAGCGCCAGCAAGAGGCCGGAGAGTCGCTATATCGACGTGTGGGCGGATTTGGTGGAGGACCCCCCAGAGGAAATCGACGACACAAATAGTATCCCCACGGATGTGGATGAGGCTGAGTGGGAGCTGATTGATGAGGCCAACCATCGCAAGGACAGTCGTAACTGGATCACGTCTATATCAGCAGACGATCCTTCGGCAGACGCAGTGTCTCCCTGGCAAGATGCGGTGTGGATGCACCACGAGACGGAGCAAGCGCAGGCGGAGTGGGGCAGAGGAAAGGCGGCTGCAGAGGACCAGTGCGACATCTTGGATGAGTGGGCGACATTGGACCCCCACACGTACTTCGACTCTTACGTCGATGGCAGCTTGCAGGCGGTGAGGACCCTCCGGAGCAAGGTGGGAGGCCTTGTCGATGTCGAGGGTCTATTGGCGAGAGACGATACGGAGGGGACAGAGGAGGACATTGAGCGCAGACACGAGGACACCCTTCCCTTGACTTCACAACCACGGGTGGCGGAAATAGGGTCATCACGCGCCACAACATCACATGACGTCCATCATCCGGAGTCTTGTCATTATGCAGGGCCGACAACCTTGGACTCCACAGGTTTGGAGGCGCATGCTTCTGCCACGATAGGTTCCCCTGCTTGCACAGTCGACGTGCGTACGACTCGTGGGTCCACACAGACTATAGTAGACCGTGGTGCAGTGCATACGGCAGACCAGAGGCGCGATGATAGCATGGTTGAGAGGGAAGATCAGGCAGCGGAGCACGGGGCAGAACACAAGGAGCAGAGGGTGCAACAGGTGGCGGAGCAGCTCACAAAGCGTTCGGGGGTCAGACAACTGCAGATGGTGGATCGGAGGGCGGCGTGGTTGATCAAAGGGCGGAGCAGAGGGTGGAGCAGGTGGGGGAAGGTTTGGCCGCGACAGTGGAGCAGAGGACGGAGCAAAATGTACATCCATGCCCTGCCCTAGGTGCAGATCAGAGGGTGGAGCAGAGGGTGGATCAAAGGGTGGAGCAGAGGGTGGATCAAAGGGTGGAGCAGCGGGTGGAGCAAAGGGTGGAGGTTAGGGTGGATGTGAGTGTGGAGCAGCAAGTGGATCAGCGGAGATCGGACATCGCACACGAGAGAGTAGGTGAGAGGATTGACGAGAGTGTCGTCCGAGATGAGGGCGCTGTGACGGTGGAGGACAGGACGGAGGAGAGGGGTAGGGATCCCCTGCAGGAAATCAGTGCTCGAGACATCGTAGTCACTAGAGGTTCATTTTATGGGATTCCACCGCTGCCCCCACGTTCCGCACAGTCCTCTCGGGGGGTGGATCTTGGTGTGCATTGCATGTCGCCACCAAATCGCGTGGCGGCTCAGGAGCCAGCATCTGCAGCAGTTAGGGGCGCTGACGACGGCGTCTCCAGTCAGGCGAGGCAAGGAGGGGGACGGAGTTTGTTACTGACGAGTAGCACACCCTTGACCAGTGCAGCAGGCACGCACACTGCACTTTTCTCGGGTCACTACGGCCATCGTCATCTAGGATGACTTGCACGCCCGCGCGCAGTCCATTGGGCATGCCCCCACTCCCCGCACGACAACCATCGACTATCCGCGACAACGTCAAGACGAGTCGTGCAGGCAGGAAGAAGAGACAAAGGGAGGATGACGAAGGCGGGGAGCCACCTCCCGCACGTCCAAAAGTAGGGACCTGTCGAGGTCATGGCCGCCCTCGTGACTCAGGCAAAGGCCGAGGCAAGCAACAACAATCGTGGGCACTGGGTGCAGTGGGCCATGGCAACACAAAAACTGATGTTGCGGAGGGGATTGTTGCGGGAGTTGGTGTTGCAGCCGGTATCCGTACGAGGTCTCGAGCGGCTGGTGGAGAGATGCACAAAACCTCTTCTCGCGTGTTGGATGATGATCCTGATGAGAATGATAACGACGACACATCAGATGAGATTTTCGACAGCCACTATGAGGAGGAGATTCGTATGAGGGATCAGGATGAGGCAAGAGATGACAACAACTCCGACAGCACCGGCGACATGGCGGAATAGTGGGATGTAGTGTTGTGGTGTCCGTCCATCTGCTT